ATCGTCAGGTCTAGTGGGTAGACTGCAATTATAATCTTCAGGTCTAGTGTGTAGACTGCAAAGGATATTTTTAACCAGTTACCGTCACTTTCAAATTTAAGTACCTCTAGTTAACTGTGGCATAAACTTTAATATGAAAACAGTATGAGGTCATGTTAAAAGTTTGACATTGTGACAGATATTCAACTTATTGAAATGTTTAAATTCTTGTATGTTTATTTTTCCTTGGACAAACTTGAAACTGATCAATTTTGTTGTTTAACCCTTACATGCTAAACATTTTGCTTGTAGGAAATATAATAATTAAGGTTAGATTTTTTGTTTTTTACAATTGTGTTAATAATTGTATCTCCTCTCTCCAGCAAAAGTCTGATATTCTCACATTTCTGTCATGAGATATCAGCTTGAAGCTTTTTCTGTGAACTGAAGGCAGAATTTGGAATTGAAGTTTTGAAAAGTGTAGCTCTAGTTGATTCTTCAGAAGTAAGAATGATGGCTCTTGGACCAGACAAAGTGGAAAAGGTTTTATGAGATTTCAAAGACTAGAGAACAAACCATATCGAAAATAAAAATAAAACTTCAGTAGAACTTGGTGCTTTATTATTCATACCTTAATTTTTTTTTAAACAGTTACAACTTGTAAGATCTATTTTCTTGCTGTTTCATGATTTGTTATGTGCCGCAGTTTGGCACACATTTTGGTTATCAAAAGGAAGTTTCATTCTATATTGGAATTGTGTTTTTAAGTACTTGAAGTGTACATATTGTTGGACCTTGTTTAAAAAGAAATGTTGACTGTTATATTACATCACATTGTTTTGGGGAAGTAGTTTGAGACGAAAGAAACCTAATTTTATAATTTGAGATGTTATTACTTCTGGTTGTCTTTTTTCAAATAGATTGATTGTGACACAAATTGATAAGCTTTATTCTAAAAGACTAGTTACCAAAATGTATGGGTTTCTAAAGAACAAAAATCTTATTAAAGAGTCCTTAGAGCTGAGTATAGTTGTTATCTGAAGTGCAGTGTTGATCTTTTACTCCAAAATGATGACTGAAGAAAATGTACCCAGGTACAACCAACAGAAATCTCAGCATGTCTCACTTTCACACGGACTTGAAAGACAGTTGCTGGAATCATTGTACAATGTATTTGGATTCCAAGGTTTCAGAAACGAGCTTCAAGAAAATGCGGTCAAGACTATAGCTTCAGCAGGTCAGGATGTTTTTGTGTCTATGCCAACTGGAGCTGGAAAGTCCTTGTGTTATCAACTGCCTGCTCTGGCTGGAGAGCGAAGTGGGGTAACTGTCGTCATTTCACCATTAATTGCGTTAATGACAGATCAGATGCAACAGTTGAGATCTTTGGGTATCTGTGCTGAGACCCTAAATTCCTCTATGAGTAAAGAAGAAAGAAATCGAGTTCGTAAAGACTTGTATTCACCATGTCCTTGTACCAGACTTTTATATATTACTCCAGAGCAGGCTGCTACAGAAGGTTTTCACACAATATTAAATCAGTTGAATAAAAATTATAAATTTGCTTATGTGGCTGTAGATGAAGCCCACTGCGTCAGCCAGTGGGGTCATGACTTCCGGCCAGATTATCTTAGATTAGGAGAGTTACGACAAAAATATCCCAAAGTACCTTGGATTGCCTTAACAGCAACAGCGTCTATGTCTGTCATGAATGATATTCTACAACATCTTTATTTAAGACCACCTGTAGCTATTTTCAGAGCCTCAAGTTTTCGTCCCAATATATATTATGATGTTGTGTTCAAAGAATGCATGGATGACCCATATGAGGATTTGAAATCATTTGCCATGTTATCACTAGGAGAAGATTGGGAAGAAACACCACCTGTTAGTAGGGGTTGTGGTATTGTGTACTGTCGAACCAGGGAAGCATGTGAAGAAGTTGCACTCAAGTTAACCAAGATGGGACTTTTCACAAGACCATATCATGCAGGAGTCAAAAACCGAGCAATAAACCAGAATGACTGGATGGAGGGAAAATTTCCTGTAATAGCTGCAACAATTAGTTTTGGAATGGGGATAGACAAACCGACTGTTAGGTTCGTTGCACACTGGTCAGTTGCTCAGTCAGTTGCAGGGTATTATCAGGAATCTGGGAGAGCAGGAAGAGACGGTCAGTCTGCTTGGTGTCGCATATACTACTCTCGAGCTGATAGAGATTCTATTCTTTATCTTCTGAAAAGAGACGAGCAGTCAGCCAAGACCCAGGAGGAAAAGTTCAAAGCTAACTCTGCTTGTAAGAGTTTTAATAGAATGATTAAATACTGTGAAGAAGCCCATTGCAGACACTCGTTACTGGTGAAAGAGTTTGGGGATGAAGTGCAAAATTGCAAGAACAATTGTGATGTTTGTTGTAAACCTAGGGTAGTTGACCGAAAACTTGTTAACTTTCAAGGCACTTTAATTTCCAGCAAGAAGAGATCCAATTTTCAAATGGAAGCAAATGATTTTGATAATGATTTGTATGGCGGAGGAAGGAAGGGGCAAAAGACTGAAAATATGGATTATGAAAATTCACATGAAGATGATTATAGTGAGGATCAAGAAAAAAGAGCAGCTAAAGCTTTATCCAATACTATTAAAAACGAATTTGAAAAAAGAAGAGGTCATAAAAAGAATAATGAAAAGAAGAATCGACCATACAAGAATACCAGGGTGTTAGAACCATTCAGTTCTTTTATCCCAGAAATTGATATTAGCATCCGGGAAGAATACTTGACAAAGCTAGAGGAAGATGTCAATGCTAATTATAATGCATGTGCTCCTTTACCTAGTGGTTTTCGGCTTGATAAACAAGATCTTCTAGACTGTGCTGCTGATAAGGAGTTTGGAATTTTCAAAACAAAGAAAAACGTACACATGTACAGAAGAGAATTTGCATTACTTTTCAAGGCCTTAAAGGACTCTTCAAAAAATCTTGAGCTTCATCCAATCTTGGTGTGCTTTGATGGATCTCAAAGTCCTGCAAAGAAGGCTCGTGAAGGCAGTTCATTAGGCAGGAAAAGTCAGTCAAAAGAAAGACTATATACATTATACGATTGTATAGCAAAATCTAGGTCATCACTCCAAGATGAAATTAACTTGTCTACTTCTGAGGAACTTTTCATTGATTCAGGTAATACTACTGACACACTCTCGAGGTCTAGTAGCTACAGTTCCTCAGCAAAAAGTTTAAATCATAGCTATCCTAGTAGCATCAGTACCTTTACAAATACATTGAATACACCAAGACATGGTGAATTTCAAGACTCTAAATTGGGTAAGGCCCATATAGTACTGAGTAGTCCTGAAGGAAAGAAAAAAGAGAGTTACTGTTCTTTTGAAAAAGGACCGTTAGCTTTGGAAATGACAGTGGAAACTCCGGTACAAGACTTGGAGAAACAAGAAGCTAATTGCTCTAAAGATGTAGGTTCTACTTCCATTAAAACTAATCACTCCAAAGAAGCAGGTTCTACTTCCATTAAGCCACTTGTGAAATATTTTTTTGAAACTAGTGACAAAACTGGGAACGATACTGAAAGCTTCAGTAGATGGTTGGGGAAAGAGGGTAAATCCATTGCTTCGGATACTCGAAACAGCAAAGATAGTTTTCCAGTGAAACGCGAATGTTCTAGCACCAATGGTACTGTGCCAGTAAGTGTGGGGAAAAAAACCAAGATTGTGGCTAATCCCGAAAAACTAAAAACTGCTGCGGATCTAGTGAGGAAGTTTCTGAATCCAAAATACAAACAAAACAAGCTAAGCAAAGAAGTGTTTAAAAAAATATGCAGGACTTTGTCCCACAGATTAGTTGATAAGAATCTCGTATCAGAGAAGCATGCCAGAGAAGCCGTTGATGAAATATTTCGGAAACGGAAAGTATATACTTCATTAGATGATATAGTGGATATTTGAATGTATTATCTACCCAGAATAACGAGGTACTTCGTGAGATATGTGTATCATTGATATTATGTTATAGGGCTGAAAAACTGGGCATGCCTGCAAGTTAGACTAAATTTTGCAAATGGAGGAAGAAAAAAAACTTTCGTCGCACGAGTTTATTTGTATTTACAGTTGTAAACTTTCTATTTGTTTAAAGCTGTATATTTAATCCTAAGTTTTCTAAATATTCGTAGTTTGTGGTGTAAAAGAAAAAAATTATTCTTAAGAAAATGTTTTTTGTTCTTTTAAGCTTAAAAAAGTATAGAGTGCTTATAATTCAACACAATTCTTATATTGTGAAAAATATAAATATAGATTCTGTTTTAAACACTAGATGGCGAGACGATAGAATTTTTCTTGTGAATATGGTTGCTTCATTTGGGACATTAAAGAAACTTAAAAATATACCATTATGAAATGTATCTATAGATTCTAATGTGATATTTGACTGTATTAGTAAATTCTTTGATTTTTTGTAGAGGTTTCTATAAAAATTCATGTATAGTTTGTTCATCACTTTCGTTAATATATTTTCGTCTATTTTCATTCATATCTTAATTGAACAATAAATTGGAGAAGCTATTAAAAGGTGAGGTATTTTGTTTACATGATCTAATAGCGATCTGCGCATGTGCTGGGTAGTATACAAGTGTAAAATGTATAGAGGGAGATGCACACGAGTTACGGTTTAATTTGGATATTACTGAATAATTTGTCAATATGTTTTAAAACGTGTTTTATTACTATTTCAGTATGACGATGTTTGATAGGCTTGTAGAGATTTTGCTAAACATAATATTGTGGTAGTTTGTGAATAAAATAAATATATCTACAGATATAAGATTTGTTTGTGATTTAATAACAGATAAAAGTTATTAACTCGTTAAGTATACATTTCTATGTGATTTAGTTAACGTCAATGCTGTGTGGTGATTCACTATCTTATTTGTCGTACCAGCAGGAAAGAACTGTTGATTTCAACTCCCTGGTTTTCTATCAAAACATAATATCACAGACTTACGTACGTCTAAATTTTTTCGATATTCGAGTTTTTTATCTAGTTATGGATACTGGGTATTTTTGTTTCCTTTTTTGTTGTTGTTGTTTTAGTAACATTGTCCAAAAATGTAGTAAAGGAGTTTGTTTGTTTGTTTGTTTGTTTCAGACGAATATTTTCTAGAAAAATAAAAAGATTTCCTGAAAATATAAATTTGTGTTTTGTATTTTATAATTATTAACATAACTCTTTCTTCGCCACTGTTAGATTTTTACTGTTTTTTTATTTTTAATTTATAAAAAACAATAAAGAATAACATGTTTTAAAACAATTGGAAAATAAATTATTATTTTTTTTTAATTGACATTAAAGTTTTAAGCTCCTTTCTAACATACCAGATTCATAAAAAAACGAATTTATCGTAACTTGAAAATATCTGTAAAATCTTTTCTTAATTATCAGGCAGGCGGCAGCACTGCCTATGTGGGGATGTCTCGGACTGTTCCTCGAAATGGTATTGTAAGTATCACCTCATTGGGTCATCAGAACTTTACAATACTATACAGTGTTCAATACACAAGGACAACAGTGTTTATTAACCTTGAATAGACAAAAACACATCAATACGCAAGTACAACAATGTTTATTAACCTTGAATAGACAAAAACACATCAATACACAAGTACAACAATGTTTATTAACCTTGAATAGACAAAAACACAGTAATACACAAGTACAACAGTGTTTATTAACCTTGAATAGACAAAAACACAGTAATACACAAGGACAACAGTGTTTATTAACCTTGAATAGACAAAAACACAGTAATACAC